TTTATTCACTCCAACTGTGACAGTTGCAGGGTTCAGCATTTGACTGTTTGCTAGGCCGATTCATTTTAATTAAAATTTAGTATTTCTCTTTGAATAAATACAGCAGAATTGAAAAAAAAAAAAGCATAATGAAATCAAGTACAAGTTCAATTCATATTGTACGCAGCGTATAAGAAGCCGTTATTTTGGTCACCACCTAAAAGGTACTGGGGAGGTGCGTTGAGATATTAAAGCATGCAACTTTTTAATTTACATGTTCAACATGGCTAGCGGCATTGATCACGGGCGCGTGCGCCCTACTCGACGAAAGACGCAACATAGCGGCCATACTCCAGCTCTAGCAAATGCAGCGTTGGTTTATAGCGTTCATCTTTGATATTGGACATCCGTGTTATGGTCAATTAACACCTGTCAAAACAAGGTATCAGCTGACCAGTATCACGTGACCAAAATGCGGGCTTAAGTTTAGAGCTCATCAAAGTCACGTGTTGACTGCTGGCCAAGTACTAGTTTTTCGATTGGATCGCGAGTTCAACCCAGGTTCACTTGTTGTAATCAGGGCCGGGATTTTCGAAAGTCGGTTAACGCTAACCCAGGAATTCGAATAAAAGTTAACTGAAGAATAAATATATTCTTGTGTAAAAATGTTATCCACTGCTTATGTTTTGTGTCAGTTTTAGGCCATTCAAATTCAAAAGAAATGGCCAAACAATATGAACAGGAAACCTCTCCGTAAAGTTACATAACTCAAATCAAATTCTCGCTTATCCTGGGTTAGCTAATTTGGGCTTTGAACAACCTGGTCCAGGAGCTCCGCTTTTAGGCCGAGCTAAATCTATATATTAAGCAAAATAAGATAATCGAGTATCCTATAGTTTTGCCAGAAACCAGAGTTTAATTTGTGCATATTTCGTGCATCGAATAGTAAGTACACTCCCTGTACGTTTTCTATATGTAAGATCTATTTGAGACTATTCATGAATTTTTTCCAAGAAGGACATGATGCGTTTGACCGAATTTAAAAGAGTTGGGGAGAACTTAGTTAAGTAAAAAGTTCATCATTGCGCAACAATGAATGTGGCCAAAGAATATTTTGCCTGTTTAAAAACCAGTAAACTTTTTCTATCAGTCAGTTCCCGACAATCGATACAAGAGAATAGTTGTTCAAGTTAGTTACAAGTTATGCTAGTAATAGCAATTTCATAAATTTTAAAACTGTATTGGAAATTATATAGAGCACTTATTTTCCGAAGGTCTGTTTCCAGCGCGATTACCACCCCTCTAAGATGTAAATATGTTGGCAGTTTTTTCATGCTATATTCTAAACCAAATAGAAGATGGCGTTCCAATATTTTTTAAGAAAATAAAGCACTTTTGACCTCACACGTGCGTATTTCCTTAGAGAACATGGAAGCCCATCTCTACTGGACAAGTATTTGGTATTAACAACCATCAAATATTTTCGCTTGCGCACGATTGGGCTAAACGCGTCACGTGACTGAATATGCCCCATCTAAAACTGGGGTGTATCCGAGTGTTATTCCCCAGTTTTCAAAAAGGTGCGGGTTGCAAAAAATATTTGAAGGATAAGAAACACAATAGCCTTCATTTGGCGCAAAAAATATGCTCGGATATTTGTTCTTGAACATAATCTTTTCCTCGAAGCTGCGCTCTTGGAAAACTTTTCAATTCTCGAGACTGATAATGTCAGCGGTCAAATATCCGAGCATATTTTCGCGCCAAGTGGAGCTCATTGTTTATATATCTACAATTTGATTATTTCACGTTATGTTGGTCTTAGAGATCGACAGCGTTTGTTCGTTTGTTCATTCTTACGTTCGATTACCATTCCTTCCTGTGGTATTACTCGTTACATGTACAGTTAAAGACATAATGCTTAAAATAAAGTACATATATATTAAGCAGAGGTCTTAGTCTATTTATATTTGTTCCAGCTCTACGCTTTGGGACCGAAAAGGTATCACATTCGCAACGTTAATTTTAATCAAACAACTTCTGGAGATGTTTTTAAAGCAATTGCGAAAATTTTTACTAAATATGAGATAAATGTAAGGATTGAATCCGCTGTAGAAAAGCGTTAACCAAGCAAAGAATAACAAAAAACTATCTTCCAGTTCGACATAATTAACAAAATTCAAAAGAATTGATATAAACATCGGGAACCAACAGAGAACATACAAAACTACAATAACGACCATCATTATTGTAACGTTTCTTGCTATTTTTAAGGCTTCGGCTTGCTGTTCATTCTGATTGGGTCCCTCTCCTGGCACCTCACGTGACCAAAGTTTGAGGCATACAATCGTGTAAAGAACGGCAATCATTATAAGAGGCAGGAAAACACCCAATGTAAAAGCAAGAAGGTGAGTTGAAGTCCATTTGCTCGTGACATTACAGTTAAAAGATTGGTGGATTTGTTTGAAGCTTCCACTGCCAATGACAAACGTTATTGAAAAAGCAAAAGACCAAGCCCAAAGAAGCAAAATTATCTTCTTGAAATTTTGAGATATAGGTGACAATCTGAAGGGTCTGGTTACTGCATAAAAGCGATCGACAGCGATAGCTGCAAGGATCCAGGTTGAGAAGGCTGGTGAAGCAAATAAGATGGCTTGAAACATCTTGCAAGTAATCAGACCAAAGAGTCCCCCAAACCATATCTTGCCCATAAAACTGTAATGAATAACAGTCATTATCTCTGCTATGGTGATCACCAGGTCATTGCATGCCTGGTTCAAAATCAGATAGTTGGTAGTGGTCTTCATGGAGTTATCTTTTCGTATAATGTGAATGATGACTGAGTTGCCGAACAGTGACGCCAGAAATGCAATGATGTATACGATGCATATCAGCCAAAGGTACTGAAAATGCATTTGGTCAAAGGCATTTGTAGTGTTTCCTAGGAATAAATGTAAATTATTTCATAAATAAATATGGCTTGCTCTATTACTATTAGTACTTTTATTTTTAATACACTATTTCTGTGTGTGCAAACGTGCTTGAGCGAAGCCCCACACCTCCGAAAATGTGGGAACCAATCGAGGCTAAAAAAGTTTGTCTGTCAGGTGATTGTCCTTACGTCCGTTTGTAGGTCCGTATGTACGAACGTTTCAAATCTAATATATTTTTTTCTCTTTGAAACATTGTTATATTCTCTCGATTCAATCTCGCCCGAACTACAAACGTCTTTGACGTTTAAAGTATGTTTTCTTTTTTTTTAATACAGTTTAAGTATATAAAATATTGTGACACAATTTCAACATGTAATTATTCCCAACGACATTGAGAAGTGTAAATGTTATGGTAGAAAATAATAAGTTAAACTCCATTTTAAATAGAAGCTTAGTCCTGCTTATAGTCAACATACCTACTTTCCCGAGGTCGATATTCTCTTTGATCGTGCATTGTATGTTGAAACTTTGGCTGTTTGGCGGATACGACAAATTCATCTTTAGCTTACTATTTCTATGACAAATGATCTGTAATCTAAGAACATTTTATGATGAGCTGCTAAATTGGTGACTCTATTCTAAAAAGGCATGAAGTCTGGCAACTATTAATTAAATCTTTATAGACGGTAACAGTCAGTGTGTCTCACCTGTGTATTATTAGATTGCTAAATTCAGGGTGTAGGCAGTCTTCTGTATAATAAAGAAAAACCTCTTTACTCCTAAATCGTTTACCTTATATTGCTTTCATATTCAATTTTGTTGTTGTTGTTGTTATTCTTTTTCTTTTTCGGTCGAGGGAACATATGATTTATTTGAAATTAATGTTTGCCAACCCTCGAAACAAACGACACCCCGTATGATCAGTCAACACATCCTTCCTGTATTCTTTCCAAATAACGTCTCACCTTCAAATGTCCGCCTGACTAGCGCCCCGCCTAGTTCCAAAGCATTACATTTATCTTATGTTTGTCTTCGAAATCTAAAAAATATAATGTACTTGGCAATCAAAACTTGTACATAGTCTTTGGAAAGTCACTTCTCAGTTATTGCTTTTGAATCATTTTAGCTGAAGCAGGTATGGGGTTCAACTTGTAAATGTTTCTTAGCGGAGTTCATTTTAATTAAGCCAAGTTTCATTTGGAGTTTTAAAGCCAAATAATTAAAAAAAAGTGTCAATAAAATATTAATACACGTAATAAAGTCAAAGCTTTTGTTTTACTTGCATAAAGAGCAATACGATTTTACAGCACAATAGAAATCTACAAAGCAACAGCCATACATAGGAAAGTGATATTTTTACGTTCCTCACTGATCTCTAATACTAGAACCATTGTTTTATATCATTCCATCTAAGACTTTTAAATTTCGAATTTAAAAAGATTTGGTATACAAGGCAGTAACAACCCTCTCTGAAATATTCCATCGTCCAATCAGAAAGTGTTTAGGCTACAGAAACGCGCAGCTCGTGTAATACTGGGTGCCGACACAAAAGCGAACAGTGTGAAACTTTTTAAACAATTAGGTTGGGTTCCATTTTACCATGAAGCGAAAATAAATAAGTCAATATTGGTATATAAACGGATCTTAGGGGAGTGCCCATCTTATCTTAGCCAAATGCTTATTAGAAATGCAGACGTGAACGGAAAAACGAGCAGGCATGGTCAATTAAACCTTGTCTGCCTCCGATTCAAACGGGAGTCTGAGGGTGGAAGGTCTTTCTCAGTATCGACTAGCCGCCTATAGAATATGACACATGCCCAAATCAAGAACCAACCTAACCTTACAAGCTTCAAAAATCCATTTTTAAACATTTTATGGACAGTTATAAGGAATTGGACCATTTTACAACGTAAATTTTTAATTTTTCAATTTTCTTGCTTTAATTGTTAGACTTGATCCCATGCTTTGCTTTTTCGTATTTTAGTGTATTTCATATCTCAGTTTTTTTATATAATCGTTGCATATTTGAGAATCAGTTTCTATATTTTTAATTCTTGACACGTCATCTTTTTTATTCTATAAATACTTATATGAGGGCCACTGGTTTTTCAGTTATTACTGTTGTGTGCTACCCTCAATAAATAAAGTTGATTATTATGTGTTCCATACGCTTTTGTCTATTGGTCCAACACAGTGAGCCAGAATATTTTTCAATCAAAGAGGTTTTTTTTTTTTTTTTCTGCGTCCCATTCGAGTCCCAATGATTTCTTCGCTGTCCCAGGTCTCTCATAATTTTGATATGAACACTGTAGTCTAGATTCCTACATCGGCTATTACTGGACGGAGGACTTCTCCAACCTTTCCATATTAAATTGTCTACTAAACGAATTTTCTAGCTAACTCCCCACAATTTTTAAAGGTTTATCAGTTCACTGGGGCACTTTATAATCGTCTTCTCCTTTTTGAGCCATGCAAGGTTGCTGTTGCTACCTACAGCAATTTATGAATTCAATATGGGATTGATATTCCAAGTAAGAAAACGTTGATTAATGAAAGGACATTCTTCGATCTGGGAAAAGTTTTGCATATTTACATTATGGGACGAATGACATTTGTTGACAACACTACCTAAATATTGCGCGCACCTTTATTGGCCACCTAGATTGTATTATTGTGTAACGAAAACACGGCAATTGCATTGAAGGAAAGCTTTGCATATTTTCTATTCGCTCTTTTTTGTTGTTATTGTTATTGTTGTTGTTGTTTTTGTTGTTGTTGTTGCTCTTTTTGTTTTGTTTTTAAGTAAGGTTATGTCAAACATCTGAAAATAACAGTTTGTATTTTGCTTCTGACTTTTCAGTCTGACTTCCACGCAGCATACCCTGCAAAATGTAACCCTGGCCCATATGCATGCAGGTAAATAACTTCCGTTCGTTATCCTTAGCAAGAAACACAGACAAACTAAAATGAATGTTTCTTTTTATCCTATCACATATGCTCAAGTTCAAAGCTTTGGAATCGCAAAGAAACAACGTTAAGATTGCGAATTTTAATTTTTCTCCGGCAATTCCTAAATAACTTATGGAAACCATTCCCAAATTTTTGATTAAACGTGAGATAAACGTAAGGGTTAAGTCCGCTGTAAGTAGATATTAACCAAAGAACAAATAAAAGGAGGCTTCCGTTTAGCTCCAAATAGTTTATATACTCCAGAATAACTGATATGAACAAAGGAAGCCAACACACTATATAAAAAACAGTAACAACGATCATCATCAAGGTAACTTTTCTTGCCGTTTTTACGGCTTCAACTTGTTGTGCATTCTGACTGGATCCCTCTCCTGGAACTTGACGTGACCAAAGTGTGAGACACACTTTTGCGTAAAGGGCTGCTATTACCAAAAAAGGCAGGAATGCCAGCAAACCACCGGTGATGATATTAATAATTGTCCACTCTTGTAGAACATCTGTCAAGTCACAGTAATAACAGTCATTTAATTTTTTGAAGCTTGCATTCTGAAGGAAGTTTAAAGGAGTAGCAAGGCACGTAGCCCAAAGAAGAAAAATTATTTTCTTTAAATGTTGAGACACGGGTGAAGATCTCAAAGGTCGCGTTACTGCATAAAAACGTTCAACGGCAATCGTTGCAAGGACCCAAAGTGAAAACATGTGGAAGCTGAATATAACTGCAAGGAATACCTTGCAAGTGATCAAACCAAGGAGCCCTCCTAACCATGAGTTGTTCATCAAACTGTAATGAATGACATTCATTCCCTCTGCTAAGGTGATCATAAGATCTGCACATGCTTGATTCAAAATCAGATAGTTGGTAGTGGTCTTCATGGAGTTATCTGTTCGTATTATGTGAATGATGACTGAGTTGCCGAACAGAGACGCAAGAAATGTGGCAATGTAAGCAACATGCAGCAACCAAAGCAGCTGGAAGTGTGTTTCTTTAACGAAGATTGTCGTGTTTACTAGAGAGAAACATAAATTGAAGTTTATTGTCATGGATAATTATCGCTTGTAATGATATGACTATACTGAATTGTTTAGATGACACACTGTGAAGCAGTCTAACTTTAAGCATGTCACTACCAGTTGCCGTACGTATATCTGTGCTGCTTCCTCTTCAACACTTTCAGTATTGAATTTGAATGCGCGACTATACTGATAATGAAAGAAATACCTTAAGCTTTCTCTACAAGATAAGACAGTTGTGACGACATCTAGTCTATTAAGAGTTAGTGCCAAGAGAAAACCAGGCAGAAACAGGCAGGAGGTGATACAGCTTAAATCACCGATTTCGCTCAAACTTGGCGCAACGTTTGGGTCCGGTGAGTAAACGATTATGGCAAAAAAAGTACGCAGGTCAAAATATTTTGTTCCCTTCAAGCTAGGGGGTACAAAAAAATGGCCATTTGGCACTAATTTATGCATATTTAATAAGCTGTCTTTGGTTTGGTATTTCTACAACAAGAAAAGCCATGTGAAAATGAAATCCACTGTATCATGTTCTACAATCATTAATCTCAAAGCAAAGATATTTATTTGAACTAGGAAATTTTATTTCTCTCTGTTGTTCCATCTTAAGTAAGGTTCATCGTAGTGCTGTTAATAGCCTTTAATTGATAGCAAATATCTGCAATGGGCAAATTGTGACAACAATCACCTAAGTTCTCAAAAACGCCATAAAATGTATGGGAACTTCAATATGTTTTTTTTCTGTGCTAGCTTTCTTCATGGGACTTTACGATTTATGGCCATTTCGTGAACATCCTCTTAAACACTAAAGCCCGTTTTTCTGTCTGAACCTAAGTCGAAAACAACAAGAAATATGTAGCTAAGCATTTTGCTATCTGTTACAAGAAACCATTTGGCGTTAAGCTGCACTTGAGACACTTCGTTTCTTTCAAATAGTTTTCTCACGATATCGATATAAATACTGCAGCAGAAGATTCAACTCACAGGTTTCCTCAACTAACGCTTTCAGGCGCAAAATACAATGGAAGCAGAAAGATGACCACTACATGCATGGGGAGGTGGGGGGGGGGGGGGGGGGCGCTGACTTCACCAACTTTGAACGATTGTGTCTACGAGCGTTTAGCAACAAACCTTGAAGAACTTGATTTTTGTTAGAGTGTTTCTCACTTAATTTTCGAAAACCAATCGGTTTCCCATTACTACGCTACACGATTGGCTCCGAAACCTGGCGACAAATTTTCATCCAATAAGAAGTAATACTATCCAAGACCTATCGTGACGCACTTGCAAATGTTTTCCCGCGCTTCGCGTACTTCTTACTTCGAAAATTTAGTGGTTTCCTGGATTTTCTGTGTTCTTTTTGATTGGTTAGAGTGATTAGTTTGGTTTCGGTTTTACGACACTCACTCCAAAATTTACCTGGGAAACGAATTAGTATCACTATTTTCTACTATATTGGTTCAAGGAGCATCCGGTTTATGTTCCCACGACAACTGTATTTTGACAGTTTTCAAATATTTTATTGGCCTCTTTTCATTGATTCTTTTTTTTTTTTTTTT